TTAAAGAGAGACCTTTGGGAAGCTGGTGGCAGTCTTCTTTTGAGCACTCTTAGAGATTAAGATAGAAAATTCATCAATAATAAAATATCAATGAGTTTAATTTTCTCAAATTAAGTTTTGTTTTATATATATATATATATATATATATATCAATGAGTTTAATAAAATTCATCACATTTAATAGTATTAAATTTTTATTACTAAATTTATGATTTAGGAGATACATAAACATATGCTATTAGTGGATGGTTAAATATTAGTATATATATATCTATAAAATTTTGGCATAATCAATAGCCACTGTTGACTGCCGATTATATAAGTATAATCAATAGAAATTCTATTGATTATACCTATATCTCGCCTCACTTAACCCAAAAGAATTGAATTTTGTGGTGTAACAAATTCAACATATTAACAAATTCAAAATATAACTAACAGAATATAATTAACAGAAATATTGTTGATTACACTTTCTTTATAGATATGGAGTTAGAAATAGAACCTTCAAACATCCTCTCATCTCATTTTCTCCAAAATTCCCCATCCTCCCTTCATTTTCTACAGATGTACGTGTCCCATTTTTCTTTTCTACCTTGCTTCATATTCTCTCTTTTCTTCTACCTTTCTAAATCTTTCATTGTCTTTTTCCTTTTTAACTTTCTTCATCCTCCCTTCTCTCTAAACTCTATCATTTTAATTCTTGGTCTTTTCCCTTTCTAGCTACCTCTCTTTTTCTTTTATTGTTTTTACATTACTTCACATTTTCCCTTCAATTCCTTCTACCTTTCTAAGTCTTGGGTTTTTTTTCATTTATTTTAATTTCTATATTATTCAATTATTTTTATTTGATCTAATAACATTTTTTTTTCTTTTGCAAGTTATTAAAGTTGAAATCATATTATGAGGTAATTTCAAATACTACTTTTTATTTATGCTTTCAATTTCCTTTTTTTTTCACTGTTTTCATAATATTTGCAAAATATTCTAGTTTTTCAATTAGTTTTTGTAGATTTATCTATATATATATACATATATATTATTGCAACATATGATTATTTTACATATATTTTAGTTAATATTTATAATTTAATTAATAAATATAAATTTTTTTAATTTGTTTTTAAAATCAAATACCAACATAATTGATATTTTTTTCGACACATTTATATGATAATTTTTTCTGTCGATTATGTTCGTTGATTGTTGGTATAACCAACAAAATTTTTTATATAATTGACAAAATTTTTTGTCGATTAAAAATTGTTTTCTAGTAGTGAAGGTTTTCCCATTCTAGCTTCAATGGCTAGGGATGTGTTGGCTGTCCAATCTCTATTGTGGCTTTTGAAGTTGCATTTAGCATTGGTGATCGAGCTCTTGATCCATTTAGGAGCTCTTTAACCCCAAGCATTACAAGAAAAAAAGCTTATTATCTACATTTGTTAAAGGATTTACTTGCATTTTTAAATGTAGGTTAAAAAAAGTTACCATTGTTTGCATAAATGCCACACAAATGTTGACATAAGTGGAGCTGGTAAAACCACACCTGCATTGTATACAAATGCTAGTGTCAACTACTTTTCCCCTGCATTTACTAAAAATGCATGGAAATCACATTAAAAAACACAGGTGATACCCATAGAAAAATCGCAAATAGTTGCTGTTTCTACTTGCACTTTTTGTCAAACTTAAGGCCTCTTTTTTTTTTTCTTTTTTTCTTTTTTTTGTCATTTTGGTTAACAACGTTTACTTAAAGTGCATGAAAAGTTTTTTTCCTTTTTGACTTTTCACTATTTTTTGGCTACCTACACACTACTTATTTGTTGACAAAACCATTTAGAATCAAGCACAATTAATCAAACCAAAATAGCTGCTGCCACCAATAGCACCATTACTTTAAGATGAAAATTGTGCCAGAACAAGATGCTATTCCAAAAGTAACCTTGAATAATCTCATAATCCACTGTTATGTACACTAACCATAGAATTGTACGCCTCTTTGTTTACTATTGCTACTCGGCTGTATGTTGATTTTACATGTATTTCCTATGTTTAACATATGTCCATTTCAAAGTTTGAAGCCTACTGATTTGATGCAAGACCTTGAACCTGAATGAATGGAACTCCGAGGGATATTTTGGCTGCATGCCTATTGGTGTTCCCAGATTAACTTCAGAACAGAAGTATTGTCGTGCAAGGAGAATGGTGTATTGCCAAGAAGAAGATGATGAAATAAGTCATTTCTCAGTAAGATGTATATAAATATAAATATAAAAAAAGGGTAATGCTTCCTGCATTGTGTACATGCTAGCCCGTTAAAGTCAAAAAATAGCCGATGCCACCAGTAGCATCATTACTTTAAGATGCATCTGGAAAGGTTGGCGCTCATTGTTGACCATAAAATGCAAACAAGATACATTTTGGCACAACCAAGATTAGTTTGACAAGGCACAACTCAAAAAAAAAAAGAAAAGAAAAGAAAAGAAAAAGAAATAAAAGTAGATCAACTAGCAACGGCCAAGTAACCTCAATACTCACCGTGACTAAATTTAATTTAAATATAGAAATTCTAATTATGAAAAATTTGACAGCATTATTTTACTAAATGAAAACTGGTATCTTCTGACTTGGTCAATTTAGTCTCATTTGAAACATGGTACGCTTTACAATCAAGGCAATAGGTTCCCAAACCTAAACAAGCAACAATTATCAAAACAGCAAGACAAAGACATGAAAATAAGCAATGGAAGCTACGTGGAATCGGTCATCATCACTTAGAGAGGTTGTTAAAGCAAAAGAGGCAGTTTTATTAATCCAAAACAAGGTATAAATTATTCTGAAATAATCAAATATAGAACAAATTATTAAAATAGACAAAAAAAAAAGGATATCACAAGATATCAAAACGCAGAATCATCACCAGCCATAAAGCATGTTATGATCAGAAAAGGAATAAGGCATGACTCACAGTGGCATTAACTAGAATACAAAAATAAAAGCCTTAACAGAAATTCTGCACATAAGAGATCTACAATTTAGCCAAAACTGCAGCTTCAATAAAAAAAAAAATTAAAATAATGGGTTTAGTGAAAATATAATCCTCTAAAAGCAAAATGAAGTTCATCAATTTAATCTGCAGGTATGACAACCAGATAGGATGATCCTTGAAAATAAGAACATAGGGCTAGCAAACCATCAGAAAACAGCACTTAGGTGCAGAAGGACACGGTCAATCCAACCACAAGAAGAAACCAACAATTAGCAGGTCTTTCATCTACTCATCTCATACATGACTTCAAGAATAACATTCAAAGCTACTGAATTGATCAAATCCAGGTCTAGTTCCAGCTTTATAATGTATTACACAGTTATGCACAAGTCACCAAGCCATGGACTAAGCATTATATGGAAACTGAATTTAAACCATAAATGTATATAGTCCATGAACTTCTCCCACATTCTAAGGCATTTATCCTAGGCTCCTTGCTTATATCATGTTCATGTGCATTTTCGTTGCCATTTCCCACCCAATATTAGTCGCTAGGAAATAAGAAAAGTCGCAATCACATTTTAAGTACAAAAGCAATATGTCTAAAACAATAAAGACAATGACCAATGGAAGCTACTTAATAGCTTGGAAAAAAAAAACAAAGAAGAAGACTGACCAAAATTCAACACAATACTAGCAGAATTTTCAAAATTAAAAGAACAAATTGAATTGCATGTGCGTACCTTTCCAATGTTGACAGCTGTGGAAGGATGAAATCAATTCCAATGAAGAGCGTTGTTTACCAGCGAGAAGAACCTTCTTCAATAATCTGGAGAGTAATTTTCAAGAGACAACAAAAAGGAACATGTTTCAATAACAGAAATTTAAAGCACTTTTCTACATAGAACAATAGCAAAAAAATTCAATGTGTTTATAGAGACACTAATATCATATATCATTTTTCCTTGATAATAAAAATTGAAATTCTAACCATTAAAATCTCACCAATCAGACTACAAAATAGACATTCATTCTCAAAAATAAGAAAAAAATAGCAGAATAAAAAATAATCCTTCATTTTCTCAGTGGCCAAAAGACTAGTTACTAAAAGAATCAAAAAGAAGCAAAATAATGGAAGCTAAGCAAAATTACATATTACCACTCAATCTCCTAAACACGTCAATTTGGATTCAACAGAAAAAAAAAAAAGAAAGAAAAGTCTAAAGATAATTGAAAATAAATTTGAGTTATTGCAAAATTGATAAGAGATCTAAGTAATGCAATTCTAAGTTCTCAAAATGATTACCGAAAGAGAGAAGGAGATCGGAGTTGCAGAAGTTGCTGGACAACGCCTACGCTGTCACCAGAGTCAAGTAAAGATTACCAGAGCCTTGGTCTTGAGCAACACCGAGCCTGGACTAAGTCAAAAAAACTGCATTTAATTTAACATGCAATCAGAAATGAGGATAGTTGGAAATGAGAATGAAATCGAGGAGAACATTCAATTGGAACTTTAGAGAAATTGGAATTAAAATCGGAAATAGCTTGTGGAGAAACTCTTGGAATCGAAATGGGAATGAAATTGGGGCTGGCTTTTTGGGAAGCCCGTTCCCACCGCGCACACGGCCCGGCTGGCCTGCCGGATGCGGGATCCGTTGCTTCAGCTATCACGATAGCAGAGAGTTTAATGGACTTCAAAGGAAGTTTAGATGGGATC